ATAGGCTAAACTATAGGAACACCCTAATCCAGAGATCTGGGGAGAAAGTGTGAGGGAGAAGGTCAAACATGCTCCACCTGCCACACCCACATATTGCTTGAGGAGAGGGAGAAACCCCTGATGCTGTTGGCAGAAGAGCTGTGTAGCATGCAAAGCTAATTATTTAACTGATATGAGCATAGAAACAATCAGCAGGGTCTACATGAAACATTTGTCTTAGTCAAAATGATGATGTACAGTTGAGTGGTTTCATTTGTACAATTAAAAGAAAGTATTCATAACTGAATCACATCAATCAATATATCAATACATAACTACTTTAACAGATCATAATATCATAATTAAAAAATGTAGTTTGATGTAGAACTTACATTTACAAAGTAAACATAATTTGGAATATCAAATAAAATAAAAATAAAATAATAATGGAATAAACTACTTCCTCAACACACTCAGGAAGAAAGGGACAAAGTGAACCTTCTCAATCAACCCCAGCAGTGTGTCAGCTTTTTGATATTACAAGCCGTGGGCACTGAATAGGTCTAGAACAACTTCATAAAGCAACCCATTAATGCTTTCTTTATAACAAAACAAATGCAATCCAATGTTATAATAAACAAATGCATATTAAACTGAATTTGAATACCAAAATCTGTGCTCATAATATTTAACATAAAAAGAAAAAATCATTACTCTATGGCACTGTAAGCACACAACTTTGTTGTGTCACACTAGCAGTACAGCTCGAGAAACTGACACAGATCAGTCAGTCCTACTACATACTACTAATGAACAATGCTGCTTCTTATAGTAGTATGCAGTATGAAACAGTTAAATCAGTTTATTTTGTAGAATGTTAGAAGTAAATGTAAACAGCACAGCGAATGGCAAACCACAGTTACTATGTAGCATCCCATCATGCTCCAAAGTTATAAATGTGGATTTTCATGATTTACCCAAAGATTCAGAAATTAAAGCGAAATCAAGTCTGATGGTTGTAAGGAACCAGATTTGCCAGCGTTTTGTTGCATTACTTAAATGTGTATACACTAAAATGAGTGTTGAAGCTTGTTCTCTGCATTTTTAGAACTAGCTGTTTCTTTAAATGCTTTGCAAGTTTGTTGAGTTATTCTTCACTACACCATGTTTGAGAAGTTTGTTTATGCACACATACAGGGGAGGGAAAGAGGGAATTCACATCCGGCACAGGGCTCCAAAAACCTTGGGGCCACTTGTGCAACTCCTTATCCAAAAGAGAGAGAGAGTAAATATAGGCACAGTTAAATATGATGTTAACTGAACACTCTTTAATTAAAGATATCAGTGGTACATCATACATAGCTGGTTCTGCTGTCTGAAGACTTGAGTCCAAGTCTCAGGGGCCGGTTGCACAAAATTCCTCAAGTTTACACCTTAAGTTTGACACTTAAGGCTTCCCCAACCCCTTACTGAGGGACTTAATCAATCCCTTCAAAGTTTTCCTCAAGAAAGAAACATATTAAGGCATTTACTGCATTGAAAGAGATTTTACAGCAGCAAAGGTCCACAGCTTCCATGGAGACCATTTGTTTGCTTGCACTCTGTGCACACTGCTTGTGATACCTAGTGAAGAGCTCCACCCAAAAGTAAAAGAAAAATATGACATATGATTTGTCTGTTGTCATTCACTCACTATTTGAAGATAGAAGTACAATAGAAGGGGGGAAACAACTTAAAGTGAACTTACAGTTTACTTGAAGTAATGTTAAAGTTAGACTAGGCTTACTATTATAAGGCTGACATTAAAAGAAATGTCTGTACTCAAGTTGTTTATAATAAAGGTGTTATTTATTGTTTTTTATTGTTATTATTTATTATTTATTACATATTAAAATATTGAAGCTATATATTTAAACTAGACTATTCAATTAAATTCAATTCAATTCAGCTGTATTTGTATAGCGCCAGTTCATAA